TTTATTGATTTATTTGCAATTTGGAAGTCTCCCAGTGTCTCAATCATTCTAATAAAATACATTCTAAATAACTATACATTTTGGCATTTGACCTTTTTTTTTTTTTTTTTTATCATGGAAAATCAGAATTCCCCCTGCCTCCTTCACCCCCCCCCGGCTTTGTGGCACTAAGTAGCCCATATATGCCGGTCTCTTGCCTACGCCAATCCCCCTCAGTTCTAAGCCACAGCCCTCCTGGCCCTGACAGTGCCCCTCACTCCTGACCCACAGTCTTCCCAGCCCTCCTGGCTATTCCCTGCCCCCAGGCCTGAGTCCCCCAGTGTGTGAGGAAGGGGGTGGGTGTGTGGGGAACGAGGTAGGTTTGTGGGGAAGGGGGATCATGGGAGCACAGATGATGGGGGGGTACAGGCAATGTGTCAGGGGGGTAAGGGGGCACATCCCGCCCCCCCAGATTTCTGTGTCCACAGTGGGACGCAGGGCTGCAGCCTGGCCAGACCAGCTCTGGGCAGGAGCTGCCTCTGCATGCCAGTGGGCAAGACCCAGCACAGGAAGAAGCACCGCACCTCCATGGCCGCCAAGGTGAGGTGCAGCAGTAGCATGGGATTGTCTCCCTCTGCTCCAGGGGGTGCCTCACCTTGGTGGCCATGGCATTGCAGCACTCCCTCCCGTTCTGGGTCCCACCTGCTGGGCCACAGAGGCAGCTGCTGCCTGGGGCTGGTCTGGTCTGGCTGCAGCCCCACACCGTGCTGTGGGTGCAGAAATCTTTGGTGGGGGTATGTGCTTCCCGCACCCCTCTATCGCATTCCCTGTGCCTCCCCATCTCCTTGTGTGTCACCTCTGCCCCCTGCATTCCCTGCCCCCATAGACTTACCTGGAGGGAGCTGGTTTCCATCACACTGACTGGTTGTCATGTGCATGTGCATATTCACATGGTGCCCCCCTGTATCCTGCTCCCCTTAGCCCCAAGCAGCCCCTTGTGGGCTGGAACTCTGTCAGCCTGCAAGTAGAAACCCAGAGTTTCCCATATTTTTCTCCTTTAAAGAAGAAAATCTGTGTTTTTCCATGGCAGATGGAAATCCCAGATCCCTGTTCACAACCATTTTTCAATTATTTACTTTTTGAATTTATTCAATTAGGGATCATGTGCATTTCTTTTAGGTCTTCATCTGAAATACAGAATTAGCATGGAGAGAGAATGGAAAGTGGGAGATGACAAAGTTTCTTAGCCTAGTAGCTCAGATAGCCTGGATGTTTTACTAAATGTTAAGCCAGTGTTACTGTTCCATGTTGATTGTTCTGCTGTCAGAAATTACACTATTCATCCATTTCAGGCTTTGCCTCCAAGAGGCTAAAGAGTATGTGGTAAACATTCTTTTTTGTTTGTTTTCTTGGGTTTTTTTGTTTATAAGTTACGTTTCTTACCTTGATGAATCTAGTGATTAGAAGAGAAAAAATATAACTGATGGTCACTTAAGTTTTGGTGTAATTGTACTAAAGTCCAAACACCACAGAGGTGGCATTCATAACATTCTTTAAGGGCTTACAGCATTGTCACCGGTCTTGACTTATGCTTTATTTTTCATTGGCTTTCTTACTGCTAGGATTTTCATGTTTTATAAACCCAGTGCTTTGAGACTGGAACTTGGGAATTGATCTACAAGACCACTGGTACACCTAATTCCCTTAGCCTCCTTTGAAAATCCCTGCCTTAAATCACCCCAGTTAGAGGTTTTGATATAGTGTCTTGTCATGTTATTCTTAACTATGTTGTGTAATTGGGCAATACTGTTGTTTGGTAAAAGTTTTGAATTTTTCCCTAAAATTAATACAGCCCTACTCTTACTGTAAGATCCAATATGAGAACTTGAATTTAATTAAAAATTCTAGGTTAGTGGGGACCCAGGATGATTCTTTCATTTTTGAAAGATACTTTAATTAAGGTGGTATCTTTACATCTTCTCTTAAAGTCAGAGGTCTAAGCATACCCTGATTTGGTGACTTCCAAGCTTGTGAGGATAGCAAAGACACAGGTGTTTGCTTGGTATGGAGGGGAGTCCTGTCTTGGATTTTGCTTCCTGGATAGGCTATAATTTGGTGCTCAGCCTATCGGAGGACCTGGAGAAATGTGCTCTTTGGAGTGCTCCAGGGGCCTTTAAAGTACTCCAAATAACAAGGGTACAAATGTGTGTGGCTAAAGAAGCAATTCAGAAATGGCAGAGACATTTAAATAAATGACAAACAACCTTTGAAGTGAAATGTCGGTATGGGCCAGCAATCCTCCAGCAGCCTACAGTGCTCTACTCACCACCTCCCACTGGGCAGGTTGAGAGAGATGAAGGAAAGAGAGTGAGGCAGAAGGCCAGTGAGCAGTCTGCGTGCTCAGCTGTCCTTGGCATTTTGAAGCACTCTGGAAATATGGGGAGCCAAATTTTGAAGTGCTCTTGGATTCGGAGTGCATATTCATCCATGGGCAGCAAAATGTATGTAATGGGAGTGACAAAGGTATCATGAAACATGTATAGCAAGTGCAGTACAGCTTCAGTTTGTTTTTTTAGGTACATTGCATCAGCACTGAATTTACCCCACGTAAACATGGAGGTGAGAAAGGAGTTCCTTTTCGGATACAAGTTGACACTTTTAAACAAACTGAAAATGGAGAATACACAGATCATCTGCATTCAGCCAGCTGTCAAATCAAAGTTTTTAAGGTAATGTTTGAAAGTAGAGGTCCTTACTAAATCTCTCAGGCATAGAAAATGTGTTTTATATTAGTTGTCTTGTAGGGTTACATATCAGTCATAAAGCTGTCTTCTATTTGCTTCTTGTTCACATGAGTATTCATTTTTAGCCAAAAGGAGCAGACAGGAAACAGAAAACGGACAGAGAAAAGATGGAGAAGCGAACTGCACATGAAAAAGAAAAGTATCAACCTTCATATGACACCACAATCCTCACAGAGGTAACAAGATGGAATTGCAGCTGTTTGCAGAGGACAGTTCTGTAGATATAGCATATATTTAAATACTAGTCTCTAAATTATTGTCTCAAAAGGGGAGGGTGAGAATTTCAGGATAAAATATCGAGTCAAGGATAGGTTGGCTTTTGATTTGACAAACTTGTCCAGGAAAAATTGTAGTTGGCTTTTGAGTGTCAACTTCATTCAGATGTATAGTGCACACTATTAAAACACACTTGGGTAGAGCACTATGTGATTGTGCTGAATGTTAAAGCAAGCCCATGGTACAGATCTAAAAACTTTTTCAGCCAAATCTAAAATGGGGTTTCAGATTTATTTACGCCTGTCACATCTGACCTCAGAATTGTATTTTTATAGACTATTGCATTTATGGCCATAGCCTCACTAGGTTTTTGCATTTTCTTTTTATTTAAACACCAGTGAGTTCTATACATTTTCCCTAAAGATTTCAAAAGTTTCTAAAGGCTTTTAGATCTTTCCTCACTGTATAATGAAAAGAAATTGATCCAAATCTTTGGTGTTTGTCCAGATGAGGCTTGAGCCTATAATTGAAGATGCAGTTGAACATGAGCAGAAAAAGTCCAGCAAGCGGACTTTGCCAGCAGACTACGGTGATTCTCTGGCAAAGCGAGGCAGTGTAAGGGACTTCTGCTTACCTTTTCTTGTGCAAGATACCTTGTGCAGTGTTAGATATAGGAGAAACTTCCGTGATACAAAATAAAAACAACTATTTTGACTGCCTTGGCTTAATTTTACTCACATTTTTTTTTTATTTGCACCAATTACTCCATGTTTGTGTTTCAGCAAGGAATGCTTCCTAAATCTAACACTTGAGAGAAATTGTTGCAGAGGGAGTGTGTGACTTTGAAAAACCCAAACAAACAAGAGCTTTCATTTTACAGATGAGTTCCATTATTGAAATAGTTATTTGTTCTCTTAATATATGTAACTAATGAGAATAGTGTAGCAGCAACATTGAGCTAAAACATGTATTGTCTATTATTTCCACTTGTATTTTTCAGTTTCCATATATAGCAGTACTTTCAAAACCTCACAAAACCTCTTGTTTTAGAGAGCTTGATACTAGCACTGTTTCTTTTCCTCTATCTGAATCCTGTTCTTACGTTGCAAGCACAATTAGGCTTGTTTAATATCGTTGAGTATTAATTTTTAGTGTGAACTTTCTAATTAAGTCTACATATAAAGCAAATAGGTACACTTTTCTCCATCAAATGTTAACCTTCAAATGTTTAAAGTGGCATTTCTTAAAAAACAGTAAAAATACTTTCATATCTGTTGATTACTGAGGTAGATCTTACCAATTTAATTTGTTTGGGTAATTAATTATACAACATCTTCCTGTTGGCAAGTTTGGGTTTACATTATTGTTTGTCCATGAAAGAATATTATTTTAGTTTTGGGGGGTTTTTTAGTTCACTGACAGGGACATTTTTGCCTATTTCCTTCATAACTCGTACCCTGTTGTATTTTCTTCCTCGCTCTTTATTATTCCTTAATGTAGTACTTGAAATATTAGCTAAGATTCTGAGGGTGAGGAAATATTTTTTGATTAAAATGACCGTAAGTATTTTATACTAGCAAAAAGCGAGTGTTATGAAAAGTGAGGTGGGTTTTATCTTTTTAACATGACATACATAGTAAGCACAGGATTGTCTGTATTTCCCTAAAGTGTCCTTAGTAAAATACAGGTAACATGTGCTTCCTGGTTCCTTAAAGCTATTCACTTCCCTTCTCAAGCTGCCTTATTTCATCCACCAAGACACACTTCTGTTACCGGGCAAAGAGCTCTACCAGAAGATGTAAACAGGGAAATAAATGGGGAAAAAAAAACAAGTATTCTTTGTGTCACTTCACCTAAACATATTTTCCTTTCTAATAGAAGTCAACCCTTTTGGGTGACTTGGCTGGACTCAATGTTTTGACCTTGCGTTCTTTCCCTTCTCTTCTTTCCGTCCTGTCTGGATGGATACTTGAGAGTGGCTGTGATCTCTGCGCCTTTTTTTCCCCCTTATCCTTGCTGAAGCTGTTATTTGGGGAAGGAGGTATCTTGTAGCATGCTTTGCTGTTGCTGCTTACTAGGGATGATCCTGAGACAAGTGCTCCAGTTTACCTCCTGCTAAAGTGTTGGGAACCAAAAGTAAACCAAACCCCAGTTGTAATGGCCTTGTTGCTCTGGCAGTTGAGACACTTCAAATGTAGGTTTTCGCTGTTACATTAGTCCTGTAGTTTAAGTCCACTGTGCCACTAGAAGGTCATATAACACTTCAGGCCAAAATCTTTGTCTGCTGAAATTTCTAAAGTTTTTGTAGCCTGGGCTTATTAAAGGGTCATAAATGATGAGTTATTTACCATTAAACTTACAAGTTAACATAGAAAATACAAATACAGGCAGTCCTTGGACTGACATAATTAGTTCCTGAAACCTGCGTCTTAAGTTGAAACGTCGTAACTCAGAACCAATTTTCTCATAAGAAACAATGTTATAAATGAGGGATTGGTTCCTGAACCAAGGCCCAATACCCTATTTTCACCAAAAATACCCCAGAATTTTGTACTCTATCAATTATAGATGAGTAATATAGCTACATTAATGTATTTATATTGTAAATAGCAATCCTGTTGATTTGGAAGGACTTCTTTGAGGTGACTTTGCTGGACTTTTTGAAGGCTCTTGGCTGGAATCTTGGCTGCAGGTTTTTCTGGAGTCTTGTCTGCTTTCTTAAAGAAAGTGTCCAAGGAAGTTTGAACAGATGTTCTCCGGGGAGATGAGCGACGCAGCGACCTTGTTCGCTAGCGTGGCATTGCATTGGATCAAGTGTTGTAAGTTGAAACTGATGTCATAAAGTTGAAACAGGGTGTCAATTTATAAATGTTGCAAGTGTGAAATGTAACTTGAAACATTGTAACTCGAGGACTGCCTGTACAGCAACTGAAGAGTGGGCTTTAAACACTAAGGTCTAAATTATGTTCCATCTAGTCAGTACCTAAGCTAACTCAAGCACCCAAGTGTGATTCTCTTCCATCTTGTCCTGAAAAATCTATTAATGCATCTACTTTTGTAACGCCATATCATCTTACTCCAAAGATAGTCATGTACAAGCAGCAAGGAGGAGGACACACCCACCTTTTGCATTAGCTGCTTTTCATGGACTTGAGCAAGATAGTATGGAAGCAGTCCAGGGCTGTGTGAAGCTTCGATCCGTGATTCATTTCGTTCCAATTCAGAGGCTGAATCGCCGAATCCAAATCGAGTCAGAGGACCGTTTAATCTCAGTCTCTCCAAATCAAATCAGAACCCTCCAAATCGATTTGGAAAGATTTGGACATAGAGACAGCTGTTTTTTCTTCATACATCTAGGTAGCAGGGGCTCGTGATTTCTGCAGTGCTGGGGCACGTGGAGTGTCCCACAAAAGCAGGCGGGGCTCTCCAGTGCACTTGGCAGCAGATCCAGAGATGGACCAGAAGCACTTCCGGGTCTGCCAGGGAGCGTGCAGGCCCCCCTTGCCCCCGCCCCCAGCTTGGCAACTGGTGCCTTTTGGGACTGGGTGGGGTGGGTCCCCCTGCTGCTGATTGCTCAGCTGGGAGAGTGCGGGGGTGGCCCCCAGTGCGCTCCCCAGCAGACCCAGAAGTGGATCAGAAGTACTTCTGTGGGACACTCCATGTGTCCTAGCATCGCAGCGATCACGAGCCGCCCCTGCTACCTCATGGTATGTAGAAAAGGCCTTTTAAAGCTGATTCGGGCCAAATCCAAATTGAATAGGGCTCACTTTGCACACCCCTACAGTGTACTAAACAGTCTACTTGTCCAGCTAGTAAATGGAATAGAATCTAGCCTCATGTCAGGAAATGAAATTAAAGTTGTTATGGTAACACTAGCTTTGCTTTATAGTGGTTGCTTTTTTAACACTTGCAGCTTTTTATATGGACCCCTAAATTTAGCCACTTTATATCTGCTAGAAAATGTTGAATAATGGCTGATATAACATTCTAGAGACGGTAACTTCTTCATTTTCTGATGTGTTAAAAAAACACTGCATGTGCAGAATTTCAAATTGTATTTGGTCAGGTTGGTTTGAAAGGCAGGTGGGACAAACTCTGTTTTTTATATGTTCTTTAACATGGCTTGTATGCTTATGGAGTTCTGTAAATAATTCTGCTGATCAAACAGCAGGCCTGCTCTTTAAATCTAAAGATTCAGATTTGTGCCTGACAGTGATGTGGACTCTATTTTGGGTAATCCTAAGAAAGGTCTCCAGTTTTTTGAGTTTGCTTTAGTTTTGATAAGGAGTGGAGTTCTGTCAGGATTGATAAATCTAAACGTTTTAGATAACTTTCCTGACTCACAAATTAAGGGTAAATGCAAATATTTTGGGAAGCAGGATAGAAAAAACACTATATAATAACTTCAAAGGACTTGTTGCCCTGCATTTCCTGAAAATTTAAGAATGTTTTGGGGGGCCTCTGTTTTCAAATGGCTATCCACATAGATAGATTGGCTTGCTTGTAATAAAAGTTGAAAGATGAGACATCATCTTTCTCCTACACCAATGGTGCTCAATCCTTTGGCTCAGCAGGCTGGATTGGCAGTGCCCAGTCCATCCATGGGGTAGATCCACCTGGTGTTCCCAATTTCATAGTTTCATAGTTTCTAGGGTCGGAAGGGACCTGGGCAGATCATCTAGTCCGACCCCCTGCCATGGCAGGAAAGAGTACTGGGGGCCAAACGACCCCCGCAAGATGGTCATCTAACCTCCCCTT